CCTAGACACTCAGTTCCTCGACTACAAACACCTAGACATCCACTTCCTCGACGGCGAACACCTAGACACTTAATCTTAAACGGCAACATCCATTTCCTCGACGGCGAACACCTAGACTAGATATTCATTTCCTCGATGGCGAACACCTAGACACCCATTTTCTCGACGGCGAACACCTAGATACTCATTTCCTCGACGGCGAACACCTAGACACCAACTTCCTCGACGGCGAACACCTAGACATCCATTTCCTCGACGGAAAACACCTAGATACTCATTTCCTCGACAGCGAACACCTAGACATTAACTTCCTCGACGGCAAAACAGCACCTAGACACCCACTTCTTCGACGGCGAACACCTAGACGCCCACTTTCTCGACGGCAAACATCTCGACACCCATTTCCTCGACGGCGAATACCTAGACACCCATTTCCTCGACGGTGAACACCTAGACCCTCATTTCCTCGACGGTGAACACCTAGACCCTCATTTCCTCGACGGTGAACACCTAGACACCAACTTCCTCGACGGCGAACATGTAGACAACACCTAGACACTCACTTCTTCGACGGCGAACACCTAGACGCCCACTTCCTCGACGGCGAACACCTAGACATCCATTTCCTCGACGGCGAATACCTAGACACCCATTTCCCAAATAGACACTCACTTCTTCGACGGCGAACACCTAGACGCCCACTTCCTCGACGGCGAATACCTACACACCCATTTCCCCAATAGCGGACACCTAGACACCCACTTCCTCGATGGCGATCACCTAGACACCCATTTCTTCGACTTAGACACCCTCTTCCTCGACGCGGTAAATGCCTAGATCTTCAACGACAATCTCGATATTTCATTTTAATTATAATTAATATTTTATTTTAATTCATTTTATTGATTTTAATTTCAATTAATTAATTATAACACGTCACATCGTATATGTGACAATGTTGCCATCGCTGATTATCACAGCCGTCATGTGTGGTTGATCACGTTCGAATGAGCAATGCTGTCATCGCTAGGTTAAGTCAAAAGCCCTCTATTGTCGAAAAAACGAGATGGACATTTTCTCCTGGTCGACGATGACAATAATAATAATAACGACGACGTTTCTTAAAATTATAATAGAAATAAAAAAATCCGGACTTTGCGTCGCGATATCTCCGCTCGTTGGGCACGTAGAAAAAAAATAAAAGCACCTTTATATCATATAATCCGTATTGTGGCTATCGATTGAGCATACATAGAATGCGATCGGTTCAGCCGTTATTGGCGATGCAAAGATCTCACTAGTGCTTTACGCGGAGAAATTGCGAACTAATGTTAGTCAATAAAATAAAAATATAAATAGTAAATGACTCTTCAATAAAGGTATAAAAATATTAATAAAAGGACATTAAGAGTCGCCAAAGTAGGTTACAATGCCTTTAGAGTAAGCATTTTTATTACAAAAGAAAAAGAAAATCTAGTGAGCTATATATTTACTGATTGTCTTTGATCGCAATTAACAATCTTCTTAATTTCATTTACGTTTCGGCTCTCGGTTCGAGCCATCTTCAGAATTCAACTTAATACTACGGTAGATAACGAAAACGCTCGCATTTCAGTGAGTCCATCCAAAGCGTATGTCATCTGTTCTCAATCGATTGCATAATTCGTTGGATAGATGTTCACTGTAGAGAATAAGAATTAGATTTATGGAACATTACACATTTCCACGTATTGCATAGTTAGATGACATACCTTTAAACAGGCACACTTCACTATAAATCATTCTATCGCTTGCGAAGATATTGCATTGTTCACAACGTTATAGTTCATATCCTTCCTCTCCATATTCTTTTATTTTGTAATTTTAACATCTGTACAGAAAGACACGTCCGCACGCAATGTGACTCGTCGATGTACTGATCGCTAACAGCTTAGTAAATGTTATAACTTATTTATTATTGGTATGTACGCTTTGTGGAGTCCTTCAGTGTCTGTTTGTAAATTCAGATGGGAAGTTGCCTTGTGCCTATGGTGTGCCAAAGATACACAAACAAGGTTATCCATTAAGAATAATAATATCTTCCATTGGTAGCCCGTTATATCCTCTTGCCAATTTCTTACAGAACATTCTCTCTGAATCTTTACCTACAGCCAACAGTTACATTATGAATAGCTTTCATCTAATCGAAGAATTAAAGAATATAAGAATTAAAGATGATTTTTCGTTGGTGTCGTTAGATGTAGTATCACTGTTCACAAATGTTCCGTTAGACATAGCGATTGACTGTATAAATGAGCAGTGGAACTGCATTTCACGACAGTGCTCCATACCCAGGGAAGAATTTCTGGAAGCTGTGAAACTTGTATTAGATTCAACCTTTTTTGTTTTTGACAAAAAAATTTATAAACAATCCTTTGGCACACCCATGGGGTCACCGTTGTCACCTGTGGTCGCAGACCTCGTGATGAGGAGGCTGGAAGGGGTTGCTCTGATGTCGTTCAACAAAGACGTACCTTTCTATTATAGATATGTCGACGACATTTGTTTAGCTGTTTCCTTGTCTGACGTGGAATTATTAAAAAAAACCTTTAATGACTTCCACCCTCGTCTTCAATTCACTTTAGAGAATGGGGGGAATAAACTTGAATTTCTTGACGTTACAATTTTAAAACACAACAATGGCTTGATTTTTGACTGGTATCGTAAACCCACGTTTTCAGGAAGATTCCTCAATTACATGTCCAACCATCCGGTATCTCAAAAAAGAGGCATGATTTTTTCGTTGGTTGATAGAGCCTTTTTACTTTCAGACGTTTGTTTTCACAAAAAAAATCTTAGATTCATCATTGAAACCTTACTCAACAATGATTATCCGATGGCATTTATATTTAACACTGTCAATCAAAGAATAAAACATCTAATAAATAACAAAATTAACGCATTGAAGAATAATAGTGATAATGTTGAGGAATCAGCAACCTACACGTGGCTAACGGTACCTTACATTCCAACACATTCAGAAAAATTTAAAAGAATCAAATGTGACGACATCAGAGTATCTTTTCGTAGTCCGAATAAAATCAATAAATATATCAAAGTACAGAAAGACCCACGGCCCAAAGACTCTAAAAATAATGTAGTTTACGAAATTGAGTGTAAAGATTGTGCAGCAACGTACGTGGGACAGACGGGCAGACAGTTGAAAACAAGAATTGCAAAACATAAAAATCACATCAGGCGAAACACAACAAATCGTTCAGTTATTACCGAGCATAGGCTGGAACACAACCATGACTTTCAATGGGACAACGTAAGAATATTAGATGAAGAGCCGTGTTATATGAAACGCTTGATATCAGAGATGATTAACATCAAGAAACAGACGAATAGCCTGAATTTACAAACAGACACTGAAGGACTCCACAAAGCGTACATACCAATAATAAATAAGTTATAACATTTACTAAGCTGTTAGCGATCAGTACATCGACGAGTCACATTGCGTGCGGACGTGTCTTTCTGTACAGATGTTAAAATTACAAAATAAAAGAATATGGAGAGGAAGGATATGAACTATAACGTTGTGAACAATGCAATATCTTCGCAAGCGATAGAATGATTTATAGTGAAGTGTGCCTGTTTAAAGGTATGTCATCTAACTATGCAATACGTGGAAATGTGTAATGTTCCATAAATCTAATTCTTATTCTCTACAGTGAACATCTATCCAACGAATTATGCAATCGATTGAGAACAGATGACATACGCTTTGGATGGACTCACTGAAATGCGAGCGTTTTCGTTATCTACCGTAGTATTAAGTTGAATTCTGAAGATGGCTCGAACCGAGAGCCGAAACGTAAATGAAATTAAGAAGATTGTTAATTGCGATCAAAGACAATCAGTAAATATATAGCTCACTAGATTTTCTTTTTCTTTTGTAATAAAAATGCTTACTCTAAAGGCATTGTAACCTACTTTGGCGACTCTTAATGTCCTTTTATTAATATTTTTAATGTTAGTCAGACACCAAACTGCACTAAACATCACAGAAATAATAAAAATTATTATTTTTCACACCGAAATATTATTTATAAGCACTAAAGATTTAATTTACAGTTAAGGCTTTAGTTCCTGATTTGTGTATTCACATTTGCGATCTTAACACACTTCCGTTTATTATTTTTCTATTGGTATAAGATACATTATTTTTCATCAAAATGTTATCTGTGCTCGATGTAATGAACGTGTGTAAAGATTATGTAAGACCTTTAAGAGAAGGTGAAGATCTTTATAAAAATGGATTACTAATTTGTGCTGGAATGACAAAGAAAAATGGATCAATTGTAGAGTGCCAAGGTTTAGCAACCCAAGTTTCACATGTTTATGAGCATCCACATATAATTAATGTAAAAATAGACTTACATAAAACTGCGGATGAACGCATAATAAATGGCAAATGTTCCTGTATTGCAGGAGAGTCTGCCAAATGCAAACATTATATCGCATTATTACTTCATCTCAGTAGGTGAGTTGACTTATGATCAGTTTTTTATTTTGATTTATATATTATCTCAGTACGTATTTTAAAACTTTTTTATTTTCTCAATTGTAGAACCAACAAGGATGATCTCGATGATTTGAGTTGCACAGATATAGAGCAACAATGGGGAAAGCTCAAGACATCTCATCATAAAGAATATGAGGCACGACGAATTTCAGAATTGTGCCATGTCAAACATCAACGAAATGTATATGCTACTCAAATACCAGAGATTACGCCGGCACTTGAAGAAAAGTGGAAAGACATTTTATTACGTTGCAAGTCTCTATAATATTTGATTTAGTTTATATCATATATATTACTTCATATTAGCAAATATAAATTTGTTAATACGAAGCATTGCAAGTTATCAAAAACTTAATTGAAGAAGATTTCCAGTTAATAGATCTTCTTAAGCCTTTGAGCTTTGAATAAAAAAAAACTGGAAATATATATATATACATACATATACATATGTATATATTAAGACAACTGTTTGCATATTAAACAATTGTGTATGAGGCCATAGATAAATAATCATTGATAAATTTGCAATGCATAGGTTTGGGAAATAAAATCTGCGACATCTTATGGTGACTGTAATATATGATATGTTACCTGAACTTTTCAGCTGTTCCATTGAGTGAATATTCAATATTTGTTAGCAGATTAAGAATGAGTTGCAGTAATGTTTATACAGAAGATGAAAATAATAGATCAAGTAATCAACAGATAGAGAAAGCAAATATTGCTCGACAAATTCTAACTTTTAAATCATGGAGAGTTTTCAGTTGCCTAAAGTATCTCACAGATATTAGGCTTTCATTATGTGAATATGAAGTACTAGAATTTTCTATAAAAATCATATACAATTAACTTTGGACGAAAGTGTTCACCTTGCTTTGAAGACAATTCAAGAAAGCGATGATTGGAATGTAGAACGTAAAAAAAGGAATACCGGAAGCAAGGCATATAATTTATTTACTTATTCTTTCAACAAACATCCAAATTGGGGCAAAAAATATAATCAAGTATTTCACAATACATTTAGTGGCAATGAAACTACAATTCATGGCTTACGTTGTGAAGGACCTGCTAAAGAAAAGTACGCTGATGAAACAAATTCAAAGCTTATTGAAACTGGACTTTTAATTCGACATAAAGTTCCATGGTTGGGATATAGTCCTGATGGCATTGTAATGAATGATAAACTGGAATCTGCCATTCTGTTTGAATTGAAAAGTCCAAAGGAAGGTGAACGTATGGATGCAAATGATTTTATTGCCATACATGCAGTCAAATCTTTTGATGCTCATGGTAAACTACGTAAAAAATGTACACATTATGGTCAAATTCAACTTGGAATGCTTTTATTAGGACTCGATTATACTGATTATGTAAACTATTCTTCATTTGGACATAATTATATTTACGAGCGTGTTTCTTTTGATTTTGATTTTGTACTTAATATGATTGAAATTTTATGTTCGGTATATTTTGACGAAATGTTACCAAGAATTATGAAAGATTTTAATGATGCAAATAATAATAATAATATTTAATAATAATTACATGTATAGACATAGATCTTAATATAAAAAAAAAGTTTCTTGACACTACATTAAAAAGCGTTATTATCAGATTACTTAAAAATTATAATATTTTAAAGAATAAATTTACGAATATTTGTCATGTTGAGTACTGGTGCACTCAGATTTACAATAGCTGCCATAATTATTAAGATTTCATCAAAATATGTGATTAAGTTCCATGGTACTTCATCAGACAAGAAAGAAAACTCCCTCAATCTTTGAATAACTCGTTCCACATGTACTCTTGCTTGGGCTATTTCAGCAATACGAAGTGCTTCTGCCTTTGAAAGTTGTAGCTTTTTCTTTAGAAAAAGTGGTTGTATAAGAATAAGATGTCTCTGTAAAAAAAATTTTTATATTTAGTACACAAAATTAATGTAATATTATAATAAAAGCACATAATAAATCTTACTTGTAAACATTCATTTTCAATTAGAAAGCCTCTGTCCACCATTACAGCATCATAAGGATCTAACTTGTCAAGTATTCCAGAATCAATAACGATAAATTTATCGAATGATCTACCTCCATAACTGCTACTGACATGTACTATAAGACCAGACGGCGTCAAGGCAACATTCCACTTGATTGTATGGCGTTTTTTATAATTTGAATAAGTCAATATTCTGCACTTGACACAATGTGGTTTTTCAATAGGAATTTCTGCACAATCCATTATAATTCGTGTGGTATTGAAGTTTTTAAAAGCAATAGGCATATTAGATCGTATCATCTCCCGGTCAGGCCATGGTATCATTGTTTTTAAAACAAGTGCTAAGAGAGGTATCATATTCTTAAAATAATTAGTACACGTTTGACGTGTGATACCAAATAACACAGCCAGCGCCGAGAAGGATAAATTTTGTTTCAGCTTCACAAAGGTCAAGATTATTCTGTTTTTCAGATCCATTTCTTTTCTTTTGCTTACATTTTTTATTTCCAAATCAGAAACACACGTAACAATACCATCCAACAATTCAAATGAATGCAATCCCGTAAAAGTATTTAATTTTACTTGATCAGTTAAAATATCAATTAGCACAAATTTTTTTAATTTTGTGATAGAATTATCGAGATATATGCGGAAGTATAAAAGTTTGAATTCCTTTATCTACGTAACTTGGAACCTCTTCAATCTTTTCAGTACGATCGACGAAATAAGTGTTACTATAATTGTTGTTTTCTGATTGTACTATATGATTTTCAATTGTATCTTTATCATTATTTGTATCAGTCAAGCTGAGAAATTTGTCTCTAAAAATATCAAAAAAATGTGATTTTAAAAATAGAATAGAAAAGTATATACTTTTTAAAAATACTATATTATAAGTGCGTTCTGAATACGGGCTAATATGTATAAAAATTTTATACTGATTTTGTTTTCTGTAATAAAGACGTTGTTCTCTAGCTTTTCTTTTTTGCTTTTGAGGAGATGTCTCTTGTGCATCATGTGATCTAATTGGAAGTTTCTGCGAGGGAACAACATTTGACTTCAAATAATGTCGTTTCTTATTACCTGTAAAAATTAAAATTTATTAGGACCAGTTTGTCTTTTCTAATGATATAGACTAGGGAAGACCGGGCTCTTATTGACATAAAAGGCAAATTGGCATTGCCTTTCGTTTATGTATTTATGATAAAGAAAACAATGGAAAAGTTACTGCAAAATATTTCTTTTACAATATAGGTATTTCTCCCTAAGTTTCATTTAAACCAACCAAGTATTACAATAGAAAAAGAAAAAAGTCTAATTCAAAAACAGGCAAGTAAATTTTTGAGCATTTCATAATTTCATATTAGTCCTTCGGCTTGAGAAAGCAAATCTAAACGATGTATTATTAATTAAAAGAAACGTATTTGTTAGTATA